AAAGAGTGCAGATTTCAAGCCCAAATGCTGCTTTATTTTTGGTGATAAGGAAGGTGGATTAAAAAAAAAAGGAAGTTTTAAATACTTTTTTCCTCAAATAAGAAACAAAAATGGTAATTTTGAAGAAATGTCATGGGATTTGGTGCAGTTTAGAAGCTGGAAAATTCTGTCAATATGTATACGTAATTCATCTAACTCCCAGGTACTACCACCAGGACATTTTAATGATGTCTAATCCTTTTGTCCTTATTGTTTGATTGCAAAAGGTGACATACTTATTATAGGTAAACATCAGTTTATATTTGTGACTAGAAATAGTTGTAGCTTTTCATAAATTATTGTCTGGAGGCCCCAGTGATTTATGTTACTTGGGAGTGCTGTGGTTAGGAAATAAAGCAGCCGTGGAGAAAAATCTGTTTCCAGACTCTTTTGGAGGACTGACCTGCATGCGGTTGAAGGAGTTGCATTAGAAACAAAGAGGAGAGTGGCTTATGTAGACTGTTCTGTTTGCCATTGCAAATGACAACTTATGTCATATGCATCGCTCGATTTTATATATTTAATAATTCTCAAGAGTTTACTTTTGATCAGTCTCTTGACTGTTTTTTCTTTAAATTTTGAAAGTTAATCCAAGAGCTACAGTCAGTAGTCTGTTACCTGCAAAACTTCTCTCTTCAGAAGCTGTGGCTCCATGATGCCCTCCTTTGGCTGTGCATACTGGGGTCTCCACTTTCCCTTGTTTCATGCTTCAGGCTCAGTGTGCAAGTCACTGGGCTGTGTGTGTAGGTAGTATCAGTCTTGGGTAGAGAGTTAGCACTGCCCTGGTCTTCCCATCACAGCAAGAGGGTGACCTGCCTTATGAAGTGCTTTGAGACCTCTTCTTAAAATGTGATAAAGGACTATGATTTTGGTTGGTTTGGATTTTTGTTCTTGTTTTGTGGTTTGGTTTAGTAATAGCAGTACTAAAGAATAATGTGGGATTATTCTTTTTGTATTAAAAGGAAAGTTTAATATGCTGTTATCTAATTATTTTTTTTAAAAAAAGAAAAAAAACAGTGTATGTAACTGTTAGAGTGATAAATGTGTCAGCAGTTAAAATTTCCAGTTACAACTTTTAGCCAAATGTCTCCTAGTAAAAGCACAGTAATGTATGTAACTTCACGGGTTGCAGTTTGACAAAGAAGCAGTGGAGACGACTGTGGGTAAAGCCAGCACACTGCCTGTCTCCTGATTTGTCCCTGGTTGTTCTGATGAGTCTTCTCTCTGCCTGTGCCTTACATTTAAGCAGAAGAATGAAATTGTTTTTTCTCACTTGAGTTGTTTTCAGTGAATTTTCATTGAATGGGGGAAGTAAAAAGGATGAACTCACAGGAAAGAATAAACCTGGAGTTAGTGTTAAAAGCATTTCTAGCTGTGCTATTTTGGTGATTGAACTAGTTTATTTAAATGCTACACTCTCCTCTTTCAGAATCAGTTGATTTGTTCAAACAATGATCAAAGGATAAGAAATTATTTAAGAGAGTAGTTATGTTTAAAGTACTGCAAAAAGACAAAAACTCTTTCAGGGTGTATGTGACTGTGAACTTAAGAGGATACATCATGAAGAAATTAATTTCAGAGCTATCTTACTTTGAAGGATTAAAATCATTTAAGATTCTGTTGAGTTTTCTGTTGCTGTGCTCTCAGGGCTTCTGTAAGGTGATACCCAGCTGTATAATCTCTTTATAAGATATGAAATAGGATAAGAACTATGAAGGGAATAAGCACTGGGACTTAGTTACCAGAAAAGTGTGTGCTGCTCTTTCGTTAATACTATCTCATGGAGAAATGGCATACAAGAGTGTGTCTGCATGGAGACTTGTCACGCACACCACACTGTCTGTCATCTCCTGCCTGACTACAGCAGTCGTGATCACCCAGGAGAACAGGGGTTATATGCAAGGCACGATGCTGATGGTGTTCGTTCTTTGAGGCATGTTGTGCTGGAATTCTGCTTTCATTCTGTCAGTTTCTGCTTTCATTCTGTCAGATTCCTGATCTGATGACTTTCAGGCTGGCTGAGGTGTAGCGTTGTTTGCCTCAAACTGGGAATATATGCGTTGTTTTGAATTACACCTCAAGTGTGTCTTGATTCACAACTCCTAGAGGCCTGAAAACTGCTTTTAGAGAATTATAACCAGCGTCCTTCAAAAGCTGGAATATTGCATTGAAGTACACAGAATTTTAATAGTTCATTATTCTGTATCTTTTGTCCTGGTGGTCTATAAATACTTCTATGGACTTCAAAATTCAAATACATTATAGTTCTTACCACTTGTTTTTATATTGTTTATGCTGAAATACGTTTTCCAGCCACATATCAAAGACCTGCTCGGTTTTACCATTGAAATGGCTATTTTGTATTCCCTTTGCATTGCAGAGCTTACTGTGTGCTCTGGGAATGACGAGAGACTTGTTTATGAAATTGGTGTGTATTTGACATTAATTAAAAATGGCATTCAGCACTCTAACGAGAATATTTTTTAATGGCTGAAAGCCATATTTATACAGTGGCAACTAAGATGCGTCTGTGGGAGTCTCTAAGACTCGGTCACCATTTCTCCTCTGTAGTCATGAACCTTGTGAATGACAAGGTGGGGGTCTTTGGAATAGCTGAAGATTAGCATCCCCTGCTGTTTTGTAATTATCAGAATCTGGACAGTCATTTATTTGAATGAAATAATGCATACAGTTTGTGCCTCCAAAGAAAAGCATACGTAATGTGATTGTAAGAAGAGGTTTTCAATCTCTCAGTGGGAAGTCATAGGGTATGTTTATAAACTTCAACCTAGCAGTTGCTCTGCAGTGGAATTCCACTGGTATTGAGATAATAATTTGCACAGTCAAATTGCTTTCTTTACAAAAACCCAGGGAATTATAAGGCCTAATCCTTTATTAATGTCAACCCATAGGCAGCAAGAAAGCGTAAGATTGCCATTCGAAAAGCCCAGGGGAAAAATCTCGAGGCCATCCGAGAGCTGAATGAGTATCTGGAACAGTGAGTGTCTTACAAGAATACGGATTGTGTTTTGCTATTCTGATAAATCTTTTTAATTAAAATGGAATTTGCATTTAATTTACGCTTTTGCTTCCACGCTGGTCGTTTACAGAATCCCTTGCACATTCTTTGTCTTTTTCCTTTTTTCCTCTCCTGTCTTCTCTATACAGATTTGTTGGAGACCAAGAAGCTTGGCATGAACTTGCAGAACTTTACATCAATGAACATGAGTAAGTTGTTTGCTAAGTCTACATAAAAACTGCTAATTTGAAACCCACTCTGTGTAAGTCAAAAACTTCAGTGCTTTATTTGAAGGGCTAGTGTTACAAAGTATGCTTTCTTATTTCCAATAGAACAGGTATCAGCAAGAAATAATTACCAACCTTATTTGACTACCAAATACTTTAAGAAGGCATTTGCTTTTAAAACAGAAACAGTTTAATTAATTACCACTATTTTTCAGTCATTTTTAAGAATCTGATATTTTAAAAGAAGTGGTTTGAGTGTAGCAGGGAATAACACTTATTTCCCATCATTTTTCAGTCAAGTGATGCATTTTACTTGTTACAGATATTAAATTCTTTGCTTCTAAAATCAATTGATCATGGCAACCAATATTTTGATTTTCTTTTAGCCTACCTCTCCAAGAACTTTTAGTAACCTTTTAAAAAAAACCAAGCCAAAACAAAACATGGATCTGGATTTAGAGGCATCTGGTCGCCTGGGTACAAAACCCAATGCAATGAAGAATGCTGAATGCTGTAGTAACTTGCTTATTGAATATTTAATGTTTTTGTTAGCTTTTTTTATTGCTGTAGTGACAGGAGGAAATCCCAGTGTGAGAGGATTAGCTCAAAGCCTTAGTGCAAGTTTTCTAATATCACAGCATTAATTCTAACCTCCACCCAAAGGCGTATCTTTTTTTCCACCCCCCTTCTTTAGTTCTTCAGCCCAGCCTGAATTATATCACATTGTTTCCTTCCTTCCTTTCCAGAGGGCAGTAAAAGAATCAAATTGTCAAGGAAGAAATAGCCATTCTCACTGTGATTAAAAATTGTTCCCCCATCACCTCTTCTTCCACCCAATTCTCAAAATAATTATTAATCTCTTTTAAATGCTGACCTAAGGAACAATCTAGACTTTTGATATCCAGATTTCCATTTGTTTGGGGAAATTTACCAGCCACTTTTCCAAGAAAATAGCTGTTAAAAAGTGGCGAGTAAGATATTTAAGCTTGTCAAATCTGTCAGTACAAAAATGAATGATGGAGTGGTGCAAACATACGTATTCCATTACTGGGTTTGGGTTTTTTTGCTATAATCTTTATTACAAAATTGTGCAATAAAACCAGAAAAAGAAATTACTTTTGATTGTATTTGTCTTGGTCTGTAATTCTAATAAAAAATAATATGTAGAAATTTCTTCAGTTCATTGAAATAATTGGCTGTGCTCACTAGTGGTACTTCTATGAGCGTCATTATTATTTTGATGATTAAATGGGAAAAAAATTGGGCTCTTGGCTAAAAAGCAACTAAAAGTTAATTTTTAAATAAAGTAAGAATTCATCAGCTTATTTGTTTTATCAGGGTCACAAATTTAGTCTGGCTTGTGAAATCACCATGCCCTTGCATGTTCATAAACACACATAGGTGTGCAGGGTTTATATAGTCCTGTGTTCTGCACTGTTCTGCAATGAGCACTGTGGCTTCTGCTTTTGGAGAAAGAGGTTGCTATCCTTTTATATCCAAATTAATAATTGAAACAGATACACAACTATCATAATGTGCACAGGAGAAAACCACAATATATTTATTTTAAGATACAAGACTTTACAGACTACATGGTTTAATATTGTCTCGTAATTGCTAAATTGCTTTTACTGCAATATTAAATATCTACCCACACTGTCATTATAAACATCATGTCTCTCAACTTTGGAATCCTATCTTGTAAACTGTGCAATAGTGCTATCGCATGTCTGTAGGCAATGCAAATTCTGCACAAAATTCTATTAGTGGAAAGATTATGAAGCTAAGATTCTTGCAAATAAATAAACCTATATTTTGTGCTTGACTCTTAATTCTTTCTGGAAGCTTTAATTAAAAACACCCCCAAGGATGAGCCTTTTCAAGTGATAAGTTTTTGCCCACTTGGGCTGGTCTGATGCTATTTTTATACAGAGATTTGAACTGTTTGGTTTTTAGAATGTTTCTGGTATGTTTTTTTGAATCTCACGTCTGTGCTGATTGTTGGCAGGTAAACTTTACTGACAGTGTAAATGCTCTGGTTTGTAGCTTGTTTTGTGAATCCTCAGGCAGTTGAATTTTCTTGCAGAATAAAGGTATATTATATTGTAGTCTCAGTTCAGTGTCTTATAGTGCTTAATGCCTGTTTCTACTCATCATTCTTGTCGATAAGAAATGCACTTATTAATAAGAGATTAGTATATTAAATGCTTTCCATGGGCTGTTCCATATATACCTAGATATTAGAGTTTGTATATTTTTCACTGCCTATAATGTAAGAATAGTAACTTGGTTCCAACATCATTTAAAAAGGAAACATTTTTATTAATTGTGAATCGTGTGATTTTATGGGGGGAAATGTAAGACTTTTATTGTGCTGTAAAAAACTGAAGCAAAGAGCTGTATACTCTTGTTTCATTTTGTTGCTGTTTTTATATTCCTCAGCTATGCAAAGGCAGCCTTCTGCTTAGAGGAGCTTATGATGACTAATCCACACAACCACTTATATTGTCAGCAATATGCTGAAGTAGGTATTTTCCAAAAAATCAATTATGTTTGAACACATTTTCTGTTTTTATGTTACTGAAGTGGTGAAAATGGTTTCTTCAGTTTTTCCCTAGGAGATTTAAGAGCGTACACAGAGAATGTTAACTTCCCATAGAACTGAACATGTTAACAAAACTGTGTTTTCCCACTCAGTGTGACTAAACTAAATATGAGAGTTAGGGCAGAAATAAATGAAGATAAAAATTAGCTTTAAATGAACACTTCTTGTTGAAGTATTTATGTACTTTTCAAATTAAGTGTATGAGAAGTTAAACTTTTCTACAGCGATGCTGCCTAGGAGGTTATGATTATGTTACTGTGCAGTCAGATCTTGGAACCTACGTACAAAATTTTGCCTGAAGGAGCACTGGTGGAAGAGAGGGGCTTAGAAGTTTTAGCTCAAGGTTTTAGCTGTTTGCCGTGGGTTTTTTTGCAGATTATCTATTTTTCCCCCTAAATTATGCTGTTAAATGCTTAGAATGGGTTTATTTTGTTTAATTAATGTGGTTAAATATGGGTTAACATTAAATCTTGAAAGTCTGAATAGCTTTCTGGTAGAAAGACTGTGAAGCATGTCTTCTAGTGTTTATCCCTCTTTTTGTTGATCATCATGGCAACTGGCAAAATGAAAAGAGAAACAACGGAGTAATCCTCTAAACCTCATGTGCTGTTTCTCAGTTGAATACATAATGAAAGGCACTTTATTGTTTTATGGACTGGTGTCATGCATGCTGAGGGAACACAGAGTCAATATGGATTTCTGGTAGTCAGAATTTACCTTTAAAGTTTGTGCTACTTTTCATAAGAGACTATCCTGAGATTTTAAGTATTCATAGGTGCAAAATAATAACTTTTTATTCTTGCAGCAATGAATTAATTAAATTAATACTGCCTTTTTTTCTCATATAGTTAAATATATTAAAATTTGTATATTGAGATGATCCCAGATTTCTCCCAAGCCAGTATTTGGCCTTTTGTAGGACTTACTGATTTGAAATACCATATGAAACAAACCTGAAGTGAATTTTCATAATACCTTTGCAGAATGACTGCCTGAGGTATGAATGACATGCAAGTTTCAGGAGCTTATCATTTTTACAGGTTAAATACACTCAAGGGGGGCTTGAAAACCTTGAGCTATCCAGAAAGTATTTTGCACAAGCACTGAAGCTTAACAACAGAAATATGAGAGCTCTATTTGGACTTTACATGGTAAGTATGAGTATATATTTTCTATGTTATCATTTCAAATATGTTTATGCATGTATATTATCCTTTACCATTTGATGTTTGGGGTTTTTTTTCCTGTTGGTTTAACTTAATAGCTCAGTTAACACTGTTCTAAAATATTGACTATGGACAGTTTTGTGCCAGTAAATACTCCTTGCTTGGAGTGCTCTTAAACTCTAAGTCTTGCCTGTGTTTTCCAAAGAATTATAATTGTTGGCACATGAAGGTAACTTCTTAAAAAAGGATTTAAAGTCGTACTCCTCTCTACAGGATGATGAACTACTGAAAAATACCAGCACAGTAGCAGTGATTATTTGCATGGTGGATCTATGTACATAAGTGAAAAGATCTCTGAGATGAGTTTGGTTCTTAAGTAACATTTTTTTATTCTTTTAGGTGAAAATAGGGACAGTTTATGTAGTCTTACCTGATTTTAAAATGTGTCTTCTGATGCCGCAGGGGAAAATGTCATGTTTTTAATGGCAGTTTGGAAACACAAGTGATGTATTTTTTCTTGTCTCTGGTAACAAATTGAATGGGGAAAAGTAATTCATAAGTCTCACTTGAGGGAAAGCAAGTTGGATTAGCTGATCTTGTCTGGGTTTGGTTCATGCCTTGATACACAACTAATGTCTAGCATGGCTTTAATTAGAAGAAACAATTGTTGAAAACACTTAGCTATTTCTTATCTGGATACTTTTTTCCAGTTAACTGTTTTTGGTTTTTTGTGTGTGGGGCTCTGACTGCAAAGGTGCTGAATGTTCTCAGTTTCTATTTCTTGCATATAAATTTTATAGTTACACTGATTTTTGTTCTTATTTTATTGTATTCCTAGTCTGCCAGCCATATTGCTTCCAATCCAAAAGCAAGTGCAAAAATGAAAAAAGATAATATGAAATATGCCAGCTGGGCAGCTAACCAAATAAACAGAGCATACCAGGTTAGTTCATCATTGCTTTATGTTATTCTTAACAGGCTCCATGGTTCTTTCTTGCAGTTTTGTCAGCTGCTGTTCAGCACGTTAGATGTGACATGTAAATCAGCGTAATTTGCTTGGCTTTCTGCATTCTACTTCTATTTGATATCCTGGAAGTCTTTAATTAAGATAAGGTTGATATTTTATATTTATTAATTAACATACTTAATGGCTTTGAACAGATTCAGATTTTTTTCTACTAACAATAACTGAATGTACAGTAGTGTAATGTTGACCTCCAAGACTTAGTTCTACAGATATTTTAATAAAACTTGATATGTCTTAATTCTTGGAGTGACTTTGTTATTCACTTCTGTTCTACTAGGAAACAAATGAAAATTCTAAAATTTTATTTTCCTGCAGTTTACTCTGATCTTTCAAAATCATATTTAATGGTGTTTCTAATAATCGCCTTAGTAATAATTGTGACTGAAGGTGGGTTTGTGTAGAAAAATGATGGTTGATGTGTGAAAATGTAGACTTTGTAGACCACAGTCAAAGCCTGAAGTCCTTAGGAGTCTTTTCAACTATTTGAAAAGCAATCTGTAAACTTTTATATTTGCTGTTGTATTATAAGCTTGTATTTGCCTCTGTAACTGTGAATGAAAATATGTTTTAGCTCTGCTGTCTGTGCATCCCAAATATAGTTTGTCTATTTGACTCTTTTACAGCTATTCTTAAACATCAGTCAAAGTTTATATATAAGTAGTCCTGAACATCCATATCATACTCTGCAGTTCTCTCCAGAACTCTTTTTTTTGATCAAAAATGTTGAAATTGAATGCAAAGACTTTATATACATGTGACACTTCTTTCTCTGAGATAATCAATATTGAAACCCAGTATTTAATTTTTCTGTTATTACTACTGTTTCACAGTTAATACTACCAAATGGCCTTTTTACCAGCTCCTTCTACTATGGAATTAAATTAGATTTTCCTTTTATGGCCAATGCAGTTTTCTTAATACAAACTGTATGTCAATTCCTTGCCAAGAGTGCAGCTTCTTGTGGCTGACGTGTTTTTGATATATTCCAACTTAGAGGTATTTTCCATTTCTCCTGGTTGGCTCTGTAGCGTCTGACTGTACTTTACAGTGAAGAATGTTGTATCCCTGAGGACATAATTAAGCATTTTATACTTGTGAGCCTGAAGTTTATTTCTCTCTTTTGCTCTTTATATGACTCTCTGCTTTTCATTAATAAGCCATTTACCTGCTCATGATGGTAAGGTGTGTATGAATTAACTACTTTGTCTGATGTCCTGTAAATAACCAGGACTTCTTTTGACTTAAGTATATCTGACATTCCTGTAAGCACAAAGCTAATGGAAAACTCAAGTATTGCAGGATTAAAAAAGAAAATAAAAACCCCAACCAAACACACCCAAAAGCCTCTTGAAGAACAGAATACACTGTGGATCCACCATTGACACCGCAAAACAGGTTTTAAAAGATGTGTGAAATTTAGTGAAAACTAGTGTTCCATGCTTAACATCTTAATAAAATGAACTGCTTAGATTAGAGTGGATTTGCACATCTATCAAGTAAATATTGCAACTGAAGTTCAAAGCATCAGTAGAGACCTGTTAGCACTTCTGGGAAACAGCTCCTTTCAGGGAGCATCAGGGTGGTAATGTAAAGCCAGTGTTGGCTGTGGAATGACCTAGAAGACCTAGAAATAGGCATCTCCTGGTTCTAAATGTAATGAATGTTTAATTATAACAGTTTGTTGTTAATTGACTCTCAGCCAGATAAGCATGTCTTGGGGTTTTTTTTTTATCTCCACAGGGTTTTCTGTTAACATCACAATGTCTCTGACTTTTATTGGGAGTGGTAGTGCTGCTGGGGGAAGAGGTCTGTGTGTGTGGGGGTTTTGTTGGGTTTTTGGTTGGTTGGTTTTGTTCTTTTTGTTTGTTTTTATTATTACTGTTTCTGTGGAGTTCTTTTGGAGGATCCTACATTAAGCATTTTTGGTTGATGGTTATCAGAACAGACCATGTTTACACAACTAACATACATATGTATGTATGTATGTGTGTGTGTATATATATATATATATACACATATATGTATATGTATATTTAAAACATGTGTTGTAGCTTCTTTGTGACTTCATACTTTTGTGATACATTTCATACTTCAGCTGCTCTTGTTGACTGGGACATAAAGTGAAGAGCACCACGTGTGACTGGAGTCATAGGGGCTTAAGCTAAGGATTTGACTTCAGAGAAGTACCACAAGAAGCTGTAGTGACTACAGCTGGGGAAGAAGGCCCCAGCCCAACTGTCCTGAGCTTGTTACATGACTGCAGAAGCATTTGGCTACTCCAGTCTGTGTGGCAGACTTATAGCATCCAATGGCTACAGCAAATGGTGTTTGGTGATGTAGTAGGTGGCAGTTTCCTCTATGAGTCAGTGTTGATTTGTTGCTCCCTCAGCAAGCTGAGCGGTTGGAAATCATCGTCATTTGGACCTGAGGATGAAACCTTGGTCATTTGTGCCAGGGGGAAGCCCTTACAGTATTCCTCCCTTAGTGGAGGGTATGTCTAACCAGGTTTTAAGCTACTTATATTAACTCTATAAATCTTCAACAGTTTCCATACACTATCCACCTGTAAACTGTACTAAGAGCCTTAAGAGCTTATTTGGTTTGGAATTGGCTTGTTTTATTGGTTGGAGCTTCTCATACTGCTAGATGAAACTTTTCTGCTGGTCATATGAATTGTGACTTTAAAATTATGATGTTATTAATTCAGAAAGTTACTTTCCAGCAATTGTCTTGCAGTGAGATATCTCCTCATTTTTACTTTGGATTTCAACATGAATTACCAGCAGTCTGTTCAGTAATTTTGGAAAATTGCCTTTATTTGTTCAAATTACTGGTTATAGTTGCTTTTTTTAAACTTTATATGCAGTGTACTTGATATATTTTTTACTGGTACCTTCTTTCAGTTTTTTCTGTTATTCAGGCAATTTGCTTTGGCACGTGATTTTTATTCTTCCTGTACATTACTGTGTGAAATTGTTAGCGTAGAAAACACATAATCACGGAATGATTATATGGGTGCTTTTATTGAAGAGCTCTGGGAGTCGGGGTACAGACCCAAATCTGACTCCGACATGGTTCTGAGATGGATACATTTTTATACTCTTCTCTTACATAACCATGGTATAGTCATATGTTAATCATTACTTTGCTATTGTTCTATTGATTTCATCCAAGCATGATTCGAGTTCTCTTTCATCCTTGTTATGCTTCACCCAAGCATGAGTTTCAGTCCCCCTTCCATCATTGTTGTATTTCACCCGAGCATGAGTTCGAACCCCCTTTTCCATGATGGTGGTATAATTATCTGTTATTTAGGGGGGTACGTACAGATAGGTACCCAGGTGTACTTGCACAGGTACACATCGACCTGCTAAGATAATAATCACTCCTCTCATTAAGACCTATTCTAGCTACCTTGCCACTAAGGCCTACTTTAGCTACCTTGCCACTGAGGCCTACTTCAGCTAGCTTGCCACTAAGGCCTACTTTAACTCCCATGATTTTTAGAAACATTTTATCCCATGTTATCAAAATCAGGAACTTTTTAGTTTATTGTCATTTAAAGAAAGCAATTTTTAACTATAAAAAGAAAACCTTCTTTCGCCAATGCTGGTTAGACTGTGCAGCAGTATCTTTACAGGAAAACATGGTTGATGAAGAATAGCTAAATAATTTTCTGCAAAGCACAGATGTTTCACACTCCATCTGGTTAATATATTTATTTTGATGTTGAATATGTAACCATCCATGCTGATTGGTACTTCTCATCTGTGTCTAATCTAGGAGAAATGCAAACTCCTGTAGGAAGGCAGAAAGATTTTGTATCTAGGGCTGCTGTATGGAGCTGGAATTCCTGGCTGCTAACATGCTCTGAAAAAGAGGTCATTATTCTCCAGGCCTTTTGAATTTAATGGACTGAGTAGGGAAAAAAACCTCAAACAAAAAGCAACCAAACCCCAACAAATAATATTGAATTTAAATCTTTTATTTCAGAAGCTAGTGAACTGCTCGTTATTCAAAATATTAGTTTAGTACTATTAGTAGTAGTACTATTATTTTTAGCACTATAAGCTTAGTTTTGCCTTATCACTGGGGAACTGGATCATTCTGTCTGTGCAGACTTTGCGAGGAACTTCTGTCTGTTCTGACTGAGGACATGAGTCACAGTTACTTTAACATCAAAACAAACTATGGCACCAAAATATGGCTCTTCAATTAGATAATTGGTTTAGCATGTCCTCTGGTAGAAGCTTTTCGGCAGTGGCAGGCAAGTTTGATTCATGCTCACAGAAATCTTTAATGTGATCCCACTCATAGTAATTTTCCAGATACATGCTTCTTGGGTGCATTGCTAAATTCTTCTGTGTTCGCAATCCACAATGTTACTTATGTTTGCAGAGAGGTGATTTTGTTACTAACCATTTGGGAAACAGAAAGTTATATCATGATTTTAAGAAATGGATTCCAGCTCAGTCAGTCAAATCGCTGTGTAATGGCAGAATGGACAAAATAATTGTTCGTCAGGGCAAATTTGAAGTGATTACATTTCCAAGTGTACTTCTGTTTGTTATGACGCAGAGTTTGGTTTTATGTCAGTATCATGAAGGCAAACACTCTTGAAATTAGCAAGTAGCATTTTTAAACTAATGTCTTATGTCAGTTTTGCTTTCAGTGTCCCTGAAGAGAAGTAAAATAAGTAAAATTTTTCTTATTTTGAAGCTTTTCTCTGCATGCTTTCTGTGTCTTGCCAACTGTGCCTTTTGACCACAGTGTAAGGTTCTGTGCTTTTTATCGAATTTTCAGAATGCTTTGAATGTGAAACAATTTTTCAGTTGAAGATTCTGAGTTCTTTTTTAATAACTTGCTCGTTTTTGTGAAAGGATTTGAAATCCCCAACTATCTGTTTGCTGTGAACAAAAACAGGATAGTCTGTAAGTCAGATCTAAGCAAAAGTTGCTTCTCTCACCTCGGCACCTCATGTGTTAAAAAATCTTTGATTTTCCTCCGAAGTTAATTATTGCAGGTCACTATGAAAACTTTAAAACCTGAAGAGTCGGTTTATTCAGGCACATCCGTTAATCACCTGGAAATATTAAATATGAAAATACGGTGTTTTCAGTATGTCTCTTAACTATAAAGTCTTGTCACAGTAACAATGTTTCTTTCTCCTAACTATTTAATTTGAATTGGCTTATCATTTACTGTGCCAAAACTATTTTTTTAAGACCTCAGTGCTGATTGGGAATCCCAGTGCTAGATTGTGGCCTGGAGGTCAAAAGCAGGTTAACAGGTCCTGCAGCTTGTTGCTAGCATGATATTACCTGAGTTTGATGACTTAATGTCTCTTAATAGGTCATGAAGAGTTTGCTAAATTAAGTTAATTACAAGATAGAAGGGACACGTAATAAATCAAGGACTAACTATGCAAGGCACCAGTGGTATTTGAAATAAAAAACATCAAATTGAAAATTTATTGAGCATTTAGATGTTAACATGTAAGAAGAGAATAGGCTGTTTTACTAGCAGCAAGTTATAATCACTTCTTCTGTAATTTCTTTACCACCCCTCCCAACCCCAAATGCACAACTTTTTAGTACAGGTGTATGTAAAATGGGTGAGAGTTTCAATTGACTGAAGACCAACCTAGTCAGTAAATCCACTAGGTCAGATATGGCTGATGAGTGATGAGAATCATCACTACAGTTAGAAAAACCCATTTGAGGTAAACGTCTCCTATCCTTCTACTCCTTCCTTTCCCAAACTTGGCTGCATGTGTCTTAGGGAATCTAAAGCCCTACACAGTATTTATTATGCTGTATCTTTTTCTCGTATCAAGACACTCTATTTCAAACACTTTCTGAAATTGCTGTTGTAATAGCAGGTTGCAGTCAAGTCCAAGGTCATCACTCACAGTTACATTGAGCCATAAAATATAATTATATGATGACTGGTTTATTTTACAGTAGATTTTGATAAGTAGAACTTTCTCTGCCTTGTTATAACAAAGACAGAAAAAAATACTGACTTTAATAACAGGTCTAAGTCTTGTGATTAGATTATAAATATAATCTAATTAGGATCACATAAACATAAACCTGAAATAGTATTTATGTTACAGTTTACAGAGCAAGCTAAACAGCAGGAGGATCTCTGTATGGATAAATGTTAAATTTCGAAGTGGAATATTAGTGCAGAATATTCAAATTCAGACCAAATTAGTGAAATTTATGAGTTCAACTATTAAGCAATTTTTCATTTGTTCATAGAAGGCTGATATAGCCTCTGTTCTGGTAAAGTTCTGAATTTTAGTGAAATGGTAAAGACACTGTGCTTGTAAGTTTGTCATAAATAGAGTTAATTTTTGGTACTTGATATACAGAACTGTTATTTGCACAGAATCTATGCACAGAATTTCTGATACATGACAAGTAACAATCCAACAATCCTTTCTTTCTTGTTTAGTTTGCAGGTCGCAGTAAGAAAGAAACGAAATACTCTTTGAGGGCAGTGGAAGACATGTTGGAGACTCTGCAAATCACTCAATCTTAGCTTGGCACAGAGATCCAGTATGAAATTTTCCAGTATCATATTCAGCCTGTAATGACCTGTGGGCTATGTTACTCTAGTGCTGTTAAAAGTTAATTTTGTATTGATTAATGTGCTATATAAAATAACGTTTTATGAAAAGTAAAATTCCTATTTATTGCTGCTATAACAAATGTGATAAATATCCACTGAAATTAATAACTTGTCCACGTAGACAACATAATGAAATGACATGCTGCACATGAGTCTCTTCAGATTTTTGTATTTACAGTACCTGCTTCTAAGCCATAATTTGTAGAAATAAACTTGTTAAATGATTTAAAAAAGTATAGTGATTTATTGGGCTTGCAGATGGAAATGCTGAATTTATATATGTAGATTAATAATGTATGTTAGACCTTTTTGTCTTACTTGCATATTTAAGAGTAAAAGCATGCTACAGATGTACACTTTCTGGAAAAGACAGCAAGGAGCGATTATTAATACACTTTATTAGTGAAAAGAAAGTTTATGTTAATGGTTTTCTTAATAACTTGATATCCAGTACTGTAGAAATGCAGAAAACTCACTCCTGTGCTTTGCTTCAGAGGTGCTCTTGTACTGGCTTATGGCCAAAGACATTCTTCTCTGTGGCTTTGTGGGCAAACACTTCCATGTCCACGTAATTCTCCAATCAGTATATGCATATGCACTTTTTTGATTGCTTCTCTATGTCCTTTGTTGTACATATGTTCCACATCATGAATTTCCAGCCCACATGGCTGCAGGCTGCATGCCAGTCCTGTGCCAGTGCTGTGCCTGCAGGATGGGCACCCCTTGGCTGTGGCCTGAGCTAAGGTGCCTCAGCTTCTCCACAGGAACCAAGGGGTACTGCACCACAAGGGTGAGATGACACAGCTTGTTCAGCTGCCTTGTACTGACTGGAGGATAGTGTTTGTTACACCAGTAGCATGAAGAATCTAGCACACTGTAAATCTGTACTGCATTTGTCTTTAGGCACTTGTTTATTTACTCAGCTAATTAGTCAAACACCCTAATTCATCCGTTTTGCAGTTCTGATCATTCTGGATGTTGTTCAGATGTGTAGTGTGGCAATTCAGTTGCCCAGCTACCATTTCATTTATTGGAACTTCAGTAAGATTGCATAACAGCAGCCACATACCCTCGGCAAATTCTGATAAAAATATTGCAGTGTTGTTTTCATGACTGTTAGCACTATCCAAGATGATTTGACTTTCTGATTTTACACTGCCTACCTTATGTAGATGGTGGTTAGGTTAAAGGCTGTGTGGATTAAGATGTCCTTTTTTATAATCCTGGACTTGAGGTAATGAAACAAAGCTGAGCTGCTTCTTAAAAGCAAAGTAACAACAAAAACTTCCTCTGTGAGTTCAAAGCTTGAAAATGTGTATAACTGAGCTGGTTGTTGCATGAGACTAGGCCTTTTAAGAAACATGTAAGGTCTCACTCCTGTTACTCATAAAGTAGGTTGGAGTATGATAGTGTGAGCAGGACGGGTGCTATGCCAGGAGAATTAATGGTATGGGAAATCTTAACTGCAAATACTGCATGGGGTTACTTTAAATCATCCGGTTCTAACTTGGGGAAACAGTGCAGATACTTTAATAATAATAATTCACAAACTGGCCTCAGAACAGTATTTGCAGCTAGATTATTTATGTTTTGGGTGGAAAACCAAGGCAATATCATAGGTGAGCCTGTGTATTTCTCTTCAGAGTTGTAGTCTTTGGCTGTATGAGTGTGCCATCTAGAGTTGTAAGCCCTCATTGGTATTTTTCCTGTTTTACCTGCATCTCGTAAAACTTAGTTGCATTCTAAAATTAAAAATTATGGGAAGTTGTACTGAAGACAGATATTACCAGTGCATAACATGTTAACTCCAAGTTACTGGAAAACAGCAGTGTAGTATTATTGTGCAGTAGTCATCTGTGCTGCTGGAATGTGTTGTATATAATGTTTGATTCAGAGGCAACTTTTAACATACCAGTGTCAGACTTGAGTATGCAGTATTTCAGTTTCTCTGTAAGGAAATTTGTTCTGTTTCTTGTTTTCAGTGACTTGATGACAAATTTCATGTCATTCGGCTGCTTAGAGCCTCTTTGTTTTCACTACTGCTTAGTATCTTTTTTCAAATTACTATTTAGCACTCTGATTTGTGCTTGCATTTTGGCCTAATTTCCATGTAGTAGAGCTTACAAGTTGACTTTGCAAATATTTCTGAAAAATTGGTGTTTACTTCAAAGGTAAAATAAATTACTCCTATGAAAATGCATGGGCACTCTCTGATAGAACTGTTGAATTGCGGCTATGGAAATTGAGAGTATTTTCCATATTCAGATTTTTAAAAAGTTAAAATCCTGTGTCTTTGGGGAAGTAGCTGTATGAAATGCCCTGAACTCTGAACAAGCAAAGGGCTTGCTGAGAAGGGAAGCTGTGATATAATATGATCTTTATAAAAGCAATTTTCCAGTTCTGGTAAATGGTTTTGTAATGTGTCACTGACTCTGTGTTGCATTAAAGAATAGGTTTTCAAAGAATGGGTTACTTAATTAATAAACGAGCTTGATTATGTTCTGTATTGTGCTCTGACAGTGACAAATGCTACACAAAAATATTATTATCAAGCATGCAGTCTCCTCTTTCCAAAATAAAAGGCTTTGTTTTCATATTGTTTCAGTCAACAGCAAAACCTGGGACCTTTGCAATGCCAGATCGTGTGGCAATCACTTGTGTCTTTATTTTTTGCAACCATACTTTGATAATGGGCTGGACAGGGAGAGCTTAGTGTTACCTGATGAAGTAAAGTTCATTGAAGAGCCACCAAAACCTCCATTTCTTCCTTTGTGATACAAGTTACTGGTGAATTCTTAAAAACCTTTTGTCCAAATGTTATGCAATTCGTATTATGTAGCTGCAAAAAGCACATCTTGTTTAGAATATATCCCTAAATCTCTTCAGTTCAGTGCCCAGAATATCTTGCAGTTGCTATTGGAAACTCTGTTATTAGTCAACGGAGGACTTCCTCTTGGCAGTGCTGTATTTGTAATGGCATCCATGTTTGCTAGTCACTGCATTTACAGTGGAACTTGTATTTCAGCCAGCTTTAGAAGGGAGGGGAAAAGGAAAGCAAATTAAACTTGACGTACTGGCATAAATTTGTTAGCTTCTTGTTACTTGCACTCTCATCTTCCAAGAACACCAACTGTAGCTGCAGTCAGGTTTGCAATAATAATTCTTCTTCTTGTAACTCAAGAGCTTCTATATATTCAGCTCTAAAACCAACACTCCTTTAAAATCTAAACCATACAGTTTCCAGTGAAACAGTGCTATGCCATGTGCACATACCCCTGTATGCAGGAAAGGACTACTCCCACCCTCCCTCAAGTTGGTGTCAGAGTGGAGGAGCACTAGAACAGTTCTTGAGTGTGGTTTTGTCTAGAAAATCAATACTGCATAATGTATCTCAAAATACTGCTTAGTGCTTGCATTGCTCAGTGCATTAACAGAATTTTAGGGCTTACTGTTACTTAACTACAGATACTTCAGTTTATATGAAGAATAAGGCACTTGACATTAGTAGTTAGCCTTCCCTGGAATGACACTGGACCCTTAGAGATTTGTATCCTCTTCATAGGCACCAGCTGGAAGTTGGATTCAACCCAGAGACTAGTTTTCAGAAATAAACAGATTGTTAATCTACCTGCCTCCTAAAAGTAAGCAGCAAAACAAAACAGCACCCCAAACAACAAAACCCAAAACAAAACCAGAAGAAAGAAACCCAAGCCCCCAAAGTCAGTTCTGGTAAAGTTGTTTTTCAGCTACTGGATGTGAAATGGAAAACCTTTATCAGCGCACTTCGTAGCTGTATTTATTTTGCTCTGTGAAGAGGAAATCCTCTGTGCAAAGCAGTGTAATTCTTTCAGTGCTTGTCAGGAAGGAAGAAAGGCTGGAGGGCAGCACACAGGCCTGTTCGACCTACATGTCATAGCAGGGACTTCCACCTCCAAGTTGCAAAAGGCATGCCATTCATTTGCACTTGAGATCCCAGAGGTGAGCATTTGTGGTAAGCAGGCACCATGGCAGCTGAAAAGGCCTAAAAAAGCCTGGACTGGCACAGCCCAAAGCCTACAGAGAAGGTGCTCAGGTACAGCTGCTCAGAGACCTGGCACAGCACCCGAGCTGCACAGCCATCAGTAGGGCCACACATTGGCATGAGTCTGCCTGCAGGTTTGTGCCTTTACTAGGGACTGTCCTCTCTTTTACTTTTCTCCTCTTGGTCACTGCACAGCTGGAATATTGTGGAAGATCCACGCCAATGTGATACCCTGAGTTTCACTGTGGGGCTAGGTGTGGAGGTGGGAGTACAGATGGATCAGCTTTCTGGATTGATGCTGGCTCTGAAGTTTTTGCACATTCTTGGCTTCAGTGCACTCAGTTGCTCAGCATACCTAAGGGTCAGCATGTAAGCCTTTGCCTCAAACTGAAAGGATCTCAGACCTGTCCTGCTAAACATTCAGTCTGCTCAGCTCCTTTGTGGGTGCTTGACAAAGAATGTGTGAGGCTGAACGACCTGCAAGTATATGGAAACTTTATTGCTCATGGTTGTGTGGTGACTGCAGTTTAGGTCTCACTGTCACTGGGCCTTTTTGTGTGCATGTGAAACAGCATGGGTAACGCTCCCAGATGGGAGGCCCTTTATCCAAGGTCAAAAGGGGTGACTGGAGGGAGGAAGAGCCACCTTTTCAGTTTGAGTGAGTCAGCAGAGGTCCAGTAGCTCTCTGCCCTGTAGAAGGTGACAAAATACGCTGCACTTTTGCATTGCCTAAATAATAAGAGGTATAAGGTTGCATTTGAAAAAAAAAATTGAAATTGCAGTGCAAAAATGTTTTTCTTCTCATCCCTGTGTATTTTAGGTTCTTGCAATGCGACCTTGTTGATGTTAAGGCTCCTTGTGCCATTTGGGTGGTATGTAGGCATCTACCTCAAGGCTACCAGTGGAGAAAGACACATTCAGAGTGACTGCTCACTTGGGAAAAGTTCCTGATGGGCTTCCATCATGGCAGGTCACGACCTGTTTGCATTGGCAATAGAAGCACTGCTTGTCCCGCAGACAGGGCTTGCTTAAATAAGATTCCTCTTAGGATCAAGGCTAATTTTCCCTAAAGAATGAAGGAACGTTTCCCAAATTTATACAGTTTTTCTGTAGCAAGCTTTTAGATTTTGGACATGATGTTTGGAAGTGAAACTTTAAACCAGGCAGATGTAATCCTCCCGGGAAGAGACTGCAAAAATCAACAC